GGAGCTCCTTTTCTACCACGACATACTCAAGAATATTCAACTCCGTGAGTCAATCGGTAACCCCGTTTTGCACAAGGATCTTTCAAACATTCCCTTACGGAGGTTTGCGCCGTTGGGTTAGATAAGGACCTAGGCAACCTTTTCTTTATAGAACCGCTTTTTCACCGTTACTTATGGCCGCATGTCTACAGTCAATCAGTCTGGAAATAAATCTTGGCCTCTGGGAGCGAAGGTCGCAAGTGTCAAGGGACGCAGCGCATCGCAAGTGCGGTCAAAATTTCGGTTAAATGAAAGTTTTTTTACCTAGTACTGAACTCTAGCACATTTAGCCACGAAAAGCAGGAGACGGGAAAATTGAGTTTTCAGAAGTCCTGATAAAAAACTGCGAGTTAGCCATGGCACTCATCAAGAAAAGATCTCTGAGGAATAGAAACCCGCTCAGGAATTCAACCCATGGACTACTGACGCCAAGATGGTAAAATGCCACATGAAGATGCTGAGATCGACGAGCTGGCTGGTATTCAAGAGAAAAGTCAGACTTCATGGTAAGTTCGAGTTTTTCAGTGGTACTGCATCTTCACATTTAGGTTGCGCAGATAAGGTAGGCAGGGGAGGATAGTGGCCTAAAGGCGCGGTTTTGCCCTTGCTCGGTTTGTAAGGTTGAAGTTTGCCCATCCCAAGCAGTTCTTACATTTCTCCTATCTCGGCAGGTTATTTGTAGTCGTAATTTGAAGGAGGAAATAGCGTCAGAAGGAAGATCAGCCGGCCGGTGAAGGTGGTTGAGTGGAACCAGTGAGTTTTCGAACCAGGGCACAACATCATGTTGCGGAGTAGTTTTGTAAAATACGATCATCCATCCCTTTGAAAACCTCGATTCCTTCTCATCATTGTTCCCCAACAATTTGCCGCTGACTGGAAGAGGGGGCAGAAACCTCGGTTCTCCCCTCTCCCTCCCCACCAGTGCTCCTAGTCACGTCTGAGTTTTGCCAAGGCATTGCGCGCATGAAAGACGCGAAAAAAAGCAAGAATCGATATCGAGAATTTCTCTCAAGACCAATGGCGTTCCCCCTTCCTTTTGTTCTTAACACGAAACGGATGATTGTGTCTGGTTCGGAGGTCAAAGATGACCAGAAATCAAGTGCCGTGGCGATCCCAGAGAAGAGTACAAACTAAACAGTTTATCGCTTTATTGTGTGCCCAAGATGGAACTGCATAGTTGCGAGAACTACATCTGGTTTGAGCAGTCAGAAAATCGATTCCTCAGCCACCGGAGTCGACTAATAGGTGACACTTCAAAGTGCATAGCGTATAGTAGTGCACTGAAAAACTCTCTGGAATTCGATCACGCAGACGAGGCGAGGAAGGCACCTCAAGACCCCCTTAACAAGCCGTGTGTACTTCATAAGACCCCTTTTGAGACAGCGTCTCGCAGGGATGTAATTAATCCAGTGAAAAGCGCTAAAAGGTTTCATCTCACCAGTTCCTATTACGTTTCCTCAGTAGAGAAGACTGTCCTTGCAGTTAAGAAACACTAAAAATCCCCAGTTCTTGTCAAAATCCTTTCCCCATGAATGCTATAACCCCTCTTATGAGGCTACATCAAGGTAGGGTCAGTGGTTTGGTGATGTCAGTACATTCCACGGAATCGCTCTCCAGTACGACCACCTCATCACATTTTCTACCATGATTCTTACCTAATGTTCGTCCCTTCGCGATACCAGCTTTTTTCAAGGTTTCTCCCAGTTTTTCTTGTGACGTGCGGAATTATTGGTTTGTCAAGCAGAGAAGGGTACCGTCCACCAACTGTCAGAACAGCTATCGATGAGGGAGTTGTGGGGGGGAATGCATAGGAACAGTGAAAGCGAGAAAAAATCGATGACGAGAGAAGTTTTCTTGCCGGCTTCACCATTCCCACCAAGCTAGGAGGGCCAAGTAATACCGCATTCTATCCCACCCTCCTCCTTCTCTCAAACCCCCCCCTCCCCTTCCCTCGGGACAGTCCCCACAGCGACGAGGAATTCTCAGCCAAACTGTAACCTGTGCCGTGCGACCGACTTTCCAACATCTCAAATAAGATCCCATGTGGAGTAGTTCTCGCCCGAGGAACGCTGTGGGCGATGTATAACCTATCCCTTATTTTCTGGAGAGCTCATTTCTTGCAAGTGCACTACCTTCCTGCTGCCCAATATAGAAAATTCAATCTGCTTGATGGTGTGGAGTGGGTCTTTTTACGGGAAAAACCGTATCCATGGAATGTTCCGTGTCCTTAATTAAGCATTATTTCATGAAGGGAGGGGCAGAGGAGAGGGAGAGAATGGAAAAGCAGGTATACGGAGTTCTTCTTGGGTTATACCTTGTCAAATTAAACTTAGCCATCCCAGAAATATCACAAAAACTGCGTCTACTAGAATTGCACGTGCCTGATCCACAAACCTCTCAGAGTTACTTCGCTTAGGGGAGGTGGGGAGTGGTCGTACTCGTTAGATTTGAGTTAAGGGTAATATCTGTGAAGCAATATAACAACCACTGTTTTTGACAGTTTAGAGAATGTGTAAATTCGGTCGGTGAACGATTTAACTCTTCCACCCCCTCCTTCACGACCCTTTTTAGAGACAGAAAAATGGATGAAAATCCCACTTTTTGAAAAAAATGGTTGAAAAAAAGCGATGGGGGGTTAAGGAAGCAGGAGGTGTGGGGAGAATAGGCGTAAGTGGGGTTGCACCAGTAAGGAGGAGAATTCGGGATAGGGTCTGTATTTTCCAAAAATTTTCCCAGCGACAGGTTGGTCGCTGTTTTTTATTTTGAAACCGATTAATCACGTGGACCTCAACCGGGTGCGTATTATGCGAAGGTGAACGGTAGACCGGAGTATAGTACTTACCGTATGCAGATTCATTGGACAATTAGCGGTTACGGTCAGTCGAATACTCCGCAATACGTTTCCATGGCTATCGATCCGAAGAAAGGAGTTGTGTGAAGTGGCCTCGTGGAAAAACGACTTTTTCTCATTTGGGAAGAACGTGTCCGGTGTCCAAATCGTCTTCACCATGTCGATACCTGGAATTGAGCCAAAATAAAGAAAGATCGAGTCATTTGTGGTCTTTGGCAGTCCCGCTGGGTGTCCCCCATGAAGTCCATACGGGATGAGGCGTTCTCCTCGGCAAAACATACTCTCATAGCGTGCTTGTTGAGCCCACTTGAGCACCCTGCTGTTCGCGCTTCGACATCACGAAAAGCTGTGCACTATTTAGTAAGCGGATTGGATTATTTTTTGGATGTGCATGGATTTTTGATGACATCGAAGGGTCCTTCTCATTAATGTCGTCTGGGATTATGTTTATCACGAGAATTTTCGCAGACGCCAGCCAGACAACAATGTTGCGCTGCTTTTGGACCGCCTGAACTTCAAAAGCGTATTGATTTCGAGTGATTTCAATCAATATAAATGTTGCAAAAAGAATCGATAATATGTTTCAAAAGCAGGCCAGATAAGGATCATTTGAGCTCTGAAAACAGCTTCCCAGCTTCAGGGACTTCTCAAAAAAAACAGTAATGGTAGATGCACTGTGTAACATTTGTTCCCACGAGACGTCGCGCACTTGTCGCGGGCGACGTAACTAGGCCGCAGCGACCGATTGCAGCGCATTTCGTCATGCGCTAGCAAGCTTACATTTGCTTTTTTCTTTGCTGGGGAAATACGATTTAGTATGTCTTATGGATTGGCTGGGTAACTTTACTCATGTACTGAAAGCACCATTCAAGTGGTGCTGAGTGCTATTTTCCCAAGGGTATCTGTATACTTGCTCTCCAGGCTCCGAGCTTTTTCAAGACTCATAAACCAGCCTTTCACAAAAATATTGCGTCAGTACCTGTGGATCGTACAAAATCTGTCTCATTCTTCTACGTGGGGGGGGGCAGCTATGGCGACTATGCAATCAGGTCACTTTCTGTCGCTGGTATAAATTTACGCAAAACACGTCCTCTCCCTCAATTTCCTCTTCTGGAACGACCCTCACCCTTTCCACTGCTACCTACCATCTTCCTAGGTTTTCATGGCTTCCTACCACCACTACTTTTCCCAAAAATTTCTGAAAATTTCCAGTTTTCCAAAAATTTCTCCGTTTAGCGGTAGGACGAGGTATCCACCAGGAAAGAGTGAACCTTGAGTGACTTTACTTATCGAAGATGGTAGTTGTACAATTTTTCGGCGCCGTTAACTAGAGGGGGGGGTTGAAGGGTGAACAACCGAACAATTTTCTCGCGCACGAACAAGAACTTTTTCAAGATCAGATACGATCCTCCCTCTCTAACCATAAGCGATGAGCAAATACG